AAAATAGCGGCGGAACAAGAATATCACCGTTGTGAGGAGGCTCGCTCCAATTACCATAACCTCTAAATGGTTACGCTACGAAATATAAACCAAATAATTTCAGTTTGTTTGTGTTCTGTTGGTAATCTTTGGGCTCTTTCCTTACATTCCATATTGAATCACTATTGCATGTTGGGTTGCTGCTGTTGAGCAAACTTGTTTGATTACCTCACAATAAAATCGTATTGGTTATAGTGACATTGCAACAAAGTCTGATTCGTTAGGAGAAACATACGAAGAAGCTTTGATTGAAAGAATAGAGATCACTACTATAATTGCTCTTGATCCATTGCTACAGGAAGGTTTCAAGTACAACTAAAGTAGGAGCTGAAATAGCACTGTTTATTATTGATTAGTGCGTACATATAGACAAGGCAAGACTTATTATATGCTTGAGTAATGTATATCTGATGCAGTTGGAGCTTTTTACATGGATATTGCATAATTCGTTTAGCTAAGAAATCATGCATAGAAGTTTTAGACAAAAGGTACGGAAATTTACTTTTGATCAAAGTTGTCATCATTGGATTATTAAAAAAAATTTGTTGATAGAAACACAAGTCAGCTTCCAAGAGGATGAAGAAAAGACAAAGGCACGCCAAGCATCCTTTTCTAATTGGCCATACAACTCTCCATCTAAAATGGAAATGGCTCAAGCAGGATTTTGTGTGGTGGATGCTAGTGGTAAAGTTGAATGCCGATATTGTCATTTGCGACAAGCAAATTGGACACACACTAACAATCCACTAGAATTCCATCGAAATCTCTCTCCCTCCTGCCCTTTTGTACGTGCAGTAAATCCTCTTCGTCCTAATCCTGTTCGTACACAATCATGGACAGAGTTCATTTCATCTGAACGACTTGTCACAATCAATGAATGTCCATACGAAGGTATTGTCCTAGCAAGACATTCTGAGCAAAGCCAAGTGAACATTAGATTATCCTCATTCCAAAATTTTCCCAATGGAGCACCTTCAACATTTGTGGAGCTCGCTGAGTCTGGCTTCATGTACGAAAACGATGGAATAAGCACAAATATCAGTTGTTTCTACTGTTCCGACTCGTCGAATAGTCTGCATTTGGCCCAACCGTTTATCGGCAGCCAACTTCATCAATCTCACATTGAGAATTGTCACTATGCTCAGCAAATGAATGATGTCGATCCGATGAAAGTCAACGGTAAGATTTTCAACGTCACTGTGTTAAGTTGTGAAGTGTTCTCCACAATACAAAATTGTAAAGGATGACTCATTTGTTTTTAGTTTCAGTTCAACTGTCATCTTCGTTTTGTGAATGGTGCCAAAAACCAGATACCCAACAAGAGTTAGTCGCTTGGCCGTGTCGCCATCGAACGGTCTGTATTCCATGTGGACAAGTTCTCCGAATATGTCCGAGATGCCAAAGTTCAGTGCAAACTTTCCTTCGAATTTATATGTAAATAATGTTCATCATTCATGTATATGCGTATATTCTTCACTGTTTTCTTTTTTTTGTTCTTGGATTTTTTCGTTATGTCTTGTCTGGCAATTTTCAAAATAAGACACATTACAATGCATCAATTTCTGAAAGAATCATGCTTCATTATGGAGATCTGTGGTTAAAGACTTGAATATTTGTGATTCATCACTCACCATGCGCTACATCGAATCAATTTGTTTTTGTCGTACACCAATTTTGTTTTTACTGCATGCTCATTTTATAACCATGCATTTGTTGAATCCTCAATATCCGAAGTTGTTGTGATGAGATTTAATTGCGTCGTAAAAAACAAGTCAAATCGATCTAGCGGAATAGCCAGGAAAAGAAATGACAGAAGGACATAGTCCCGACTTCTACAAATAACGTTCATCGACATTGAAAGTCGTTTCACTGAGTCCTAGACTGACAGAATCATGATCAAGATGTGCTTAAATTTTTATACGTATAAGAATGAATTCTGTGCAATGAAGACTTTGACAGAAATTAACGATATTTGAAAGATGTTGCATATTATATAGTATAGACATTTTGAAACAGTGGATATAAAATATTTAAAAAAAGTATTTTTGTGTATCACAAGGTTTATGCTTTAGCTGATTATAGCAAATAAGAATGATGAATTGTGCCCTAAACATGGCCATGTCTGCCACAGAAATGGTCATTTATGCCATGGCCAACACTTTGTTTCAGACGGACAGACACAGGGGAATTATGGATTCTAGATTCTATCCTTTCAGTCTAGGGAACATTACAGAGGCGGCTCAGTCAGACATTGGATTAGTACCAGTACGGTAAGTATTTGTACTTTTACTGCAACAAATGTACTTGTACTTAAGACCTTTACGTACTTAGTACAAAAAGTACCAAGTATTGTACTAAGTATCCAATGTCTGAGATCAATTCCCAAAAGGTGTGGGCGTAGGTACAAGGACAGAGAATATCCGCATGCATACGTACATCTACCATCCTTTTATTGAGGATTGATAGTTGAAGATAAATAAATGTTGTAATAAATTTACAAGTAAAATCAACTTCTTGTGTATTTAGAATATAAAATTTCACATGAAGTTTATCATAATTAAAACTTATTGATTCCATGCCTAGAAACATAAGAAGGACCGGCTAGTATCCAACAAAAAAATAATTCATACTCGGATAAGTAAAAAATCAATAAATGGGTTCTTCAATATTATCCATTGTCAATAACATGAATATACCATTAAAATTCATCAAATTATGTGATTTATAAATGAGTAAACTATAATCATAAGTACAAACAAGTTGAGAGAAAAGAATGAAAGTGACATTTCTGATTGAATAACAGTTTGTTTCAATAGCTTCATATATTGTTTTGATAAACGATATTTTCATGTTTCAACTGAATTAATTTTAAGAGAAAAACAATATGTTGCAAGAAAATTTTATGGTAATCTTCTCTCGAGCCATTTAAAATAAATTTAATTTTATCAAACGAAAAAAAATAATACTTAATTATAACACATGCGTGAAAATATTGTTTGTAACAGTGTTTAACCATGCATTAAATCATTGATATTAAATTGAATTCAATTTAATGATCACCCATTTTTTAAGTCAATCGTTGTTATCATTATGAAACATCAGACAATTCCTGTTTATTTCAAATATTTAAACATGAAGTTCATTGTTAAAATCTCAAAATTTAGCTGTTAATAAACGAAGTTTTTTTTCGATCTATGATCAGATGAAAAAGAACAATAATTTATATTTATTTTATGATTATTCTTAGTTCGCTAAGGAGTCATTCATAGAGGGGAGCCTGCAGATGTGCGTATAGATAACAAAAAGATTGAAAATTTTCAATAGAATTGTTTCTTCAATTTAAATAAATACTGTAGAAGATTTGATACCTCATCTTATTTCTCAATAAAAACGAAGAGAAAAAGAAAATCATTTAGATTTCTCATTGGAACTTGCACTACACAAATGTTAACATTCTCAAAAAACTACGTGAGAAAACACTTATTTACTTTTTACCTGATTTTTATGAGAAAAACTAGTCTTTTAAGAACAGTGGATGCACATGAAATATTATTGAATGGGTGTTATTGGCTATGAAAGAATTAGAAAGATTTATGACTCAGGTGACAATGTCGACATATCCGAAAGTTTTTTATTGACAATCTTTCATTACCAAAAGGTGCTGATCAATGCGGATGAAATTGATATTGAAAGAAATCTGCATCATGTTTTGCATAAGTCAATCGAATATGTGGAGAAATTTGCAAAGTAAGTGAAAAATTATTTGACTGAAGAGAAAATTAGACATTATCAGAGTCACTAGATGGAAAAATTGAAGTTATCTCAGTTCATCGTCTTTATTCTTTGATAAGAAATTGAATTCGATTAGGATATAATTTAAGCAAAATCCTACAAAGAATAAATGAAATATTTTCTCATATATCAAACAGTTCATCTTGATTCACTTTCAGCAATTAATGATGGTTTATGAATATGATTATTACGTTGTTCAAGATATAATGTCTTCCAATGAAATTACTGATTATTGATCTTTTCTTCTTGTAAGTATTAGTGAGAGAAATATCAATTTTTCCAATCTCAACTAATCAGTTCAATGTACTTTTGCCGTAATATGAATAGTTTACATTTTTACTGTCTCTCATGAGCAAAGTTAAAATCATGGGGGGATTAAATCCCATGAGGATGTGAGTGTGAGAGAGTAGAAGATCAATACCGACGTCCAAACTTCAAATCAACATACTGCGAGTCTTAGAAAGTAGTATGTACATGCTTCATCAATAATGAAGATGAAAGATACGAGTTCATTCCTATCACTTTAGTACAACAAGAATTACTGTGTGTATTAATGGATAATGTTAGCGTCAATAGATGGTGTTATTTGACGCCAACTCTATTATCATTAATTATGCTTGTTCCTCTCTGATCTTTTTTTGTTTTTTCGGTCATGGTGGACTTTTTTGATATCTCGCGTGGGTGCTTTGTTTAGTTCACCAGTTCTTCTTTTTTTTTTCCTCTCACCTGTGATAACCCATCACCCCTTTTTCAACTGTGACTATTATTATTCTTTGTCATTAATCTTCCCTGTTATTGATGATTTTTCTTTATTACTTTGAATAAATCATATTAACTACAGCATCAACAAACTTTATCCATACATCACAAAGACAAAATACGGTAAGCTGTTTTTACGTGAGCTCTTATACTCTGAAGCAGACAAAACCCCGATTTATATATCATTTAGCCTACGTAGCTTACGTTGGCTGAAGTCTTTGATATATTCCCGATCGAGAGTCTCACAATTGGTGGAGAAGTTGGGCACGAATTAGTCTGCCTATTTTTTCAGTTTTGTTTTTTGTCTTTTTTGTTGCATTTTTTTTCTCTTTTCTCTTCGCTACCCCTTTATTACTTTAAAAGTTCTTACCACCATAAACATAATCCATTACTTTATCGACATTTCAAAAATGTCTAACAACGATCAACGACCACTTATTTCTAAATCTACACTAATTGATTCGTTAAATCTACATACTACTTCCGCATCGTCATTTTTAACATCAACAATAAATCAAGAAGCAACATTAGCTGATCTATTAAATAACAATCGTAGAAAAGCCATCATACCTACACCCAACCGACCAACCATTGTATCACAATCAATTACTTGTAAAAATCCTGATGATGAATTAACAACAAATACAATTGTTGATAATGCTGATATTGAATCTTCAAAAACTGTAACCAAATTGCTTAATAGTCTTAAACAAGACGACATGATGGGCTGTACTGATAATCCATCTGAACCGGGAGAAAATGAAGAAGACCATCAATTTGACTCATTTGTCTTAGAACATTTTGTTCCGTTTTCTGGTAAACAACCAGTTAATCTATGGTTAGATGAAACTGAAAGTAAATTCAATCAATTCAAAATTTCTCGAAGTTTCCGTTTTGAAGCAATCTCACTTCTCGTTGAAGGTGATGCTAAACGCTTATACATAAAAAACCGAAAAGCGATTCGTAGTTTTGATGATTTTTACGAATTCTTGTTAGTACATTTTGATAACAATAATTCCAGTTCATCTACAATTAAATCTCAAGCAATATATATTCCTGATACTACAAATCAACAAACATCATGTCAAAATGAATCAATTACTGCTGCACAAGGAAAATCAATAGATATTCCAGACACTATAAATTCTACACGTCATTCACCATGTCATTCTACTGCTGTTGCTGATTGTCATACCACCAGCATCATTAGTGATACACTAGACAATAAACCAGGCAACCTTACTACAAATTCTTCGATTAATATACTTGATCAAACTACGAATGATCTTCGAAAAGCAATTGTAGGTGATTTGATTAGGAATCCCAAGGTATTTAAAGGTGGTAAAGATGATGTAAACAAATGGATCGAAGAAATTGAACATCTTTTAGATGTAGCACATATTCCTGATTCGAGTCGATTGGACATAATTTCTTATTCACTCCGAGGAGATGCTCTCCAATGGTATAAGGCTAACAAAGCAATGTTTACTTCATGGATAATATTTGTATATGAACTTAAAAGAGCTTTTACTTCCTCGTTTCATGAGGAATTAGCATTTAAAAAATTAGAAACATATACTCAAGGTGACAGTCAATCTATTCGAAATTTTTTCAATAAAGTTTTACAGTTATGCAAAGAAGCTGATCCCAACATGAGCGAATCAACAAAATTAAAGCATCTTCTCAATAAAGCCAAACCCACTATACAGTTCGAAGTTCGAAAGAAAAAACCTACCACTATCACCGAATTTTTTGAATATGCTAAAGATGTAGAAGAATGGTATCAGTTATCAAACATCAACATTGATAATAATAATAAGAATAATAATTCTCCAACTACTACACAACAACAAATATCTCCTTTAATGACTGTACCTTCTTCAAGTACTACTTATTCAAATAAACCGTTTTCGAATAAATTTACATCCGACTATTCAAGAAATTTTAACAACAATAATAACAATACATTTAGAAACCAAGATAATCGAAATAGTCCCCAATCATCAGCGTTTACAACTTCATCTTTTCGTTTACCTCAAGCTGCTCAATTTCAACCAAGAACTACCACTCAACGATTTCAACCAAATAAGAACAATTCTTTCTTTAACTCTAATAATGCTAATCGAACTCGACCACAGCAATATCAACCAAATTTGTCCAATATCGATCGACGACGTCAACAAGCAGCAAATGCAATCTCTCCATCAGATTCAACTATTATTCCCGATCTACACTCAGAAACTCTTCCAGTAATTGTTTGCACTCAGTGTAACGAATTTGGACATGAGGCTTCGACTTGTCCAAATTTCTAATTTCGGAATCATCGAATGATGGTGTTGATTCCAGAAAACATAATAAAAACCCATCGAAGTCATCCTTAATTTTTCTAACCACATCCGTCAATAAATATAAACTAAAAATTCTGATAGATACCGGAGCGACTACAACCTTCGTCAATGAAAAGATTTTACATCATATGAAACGTCCTCAATTTATTCATAAAAATCCTTATTCGTTTGTTTTGGCTGATGGTGTAGCACCTTTTCAAGTGCTTGGAACTATCGAATTATCAATTCAATTTGTCAATATGACAACAACAATTCAAGCTCATATTGCTCGAAATCTATGTGCCGATATGATCTTAGGCATGGATTATATCAATAAATACAATCTTAACATCGATGTTAAACAGCAAACTATCGCTATTGAATATAACAATCGAATATTAACAATGAATATTGATCAAGATTTTGAACTACACAAAATTCCTGTTACTTCTTCTAAAGCAATATATATACCTCCGCATTCCAATCGTTCATCAAAGGTTTCTATACCTATCTCATCTGTCTACTCCTCGTTCGTTCCATGCTCACATTTGAAATATAATACTCCGTCAATTATTACACAGACATGTTTAAACTTTCAAAACTATTGTTCTAGTGTTATCCTTTCTAACACTTCCGCGTATCCTCGATTTATTAGAAAAGGTGTTTGTGTCGGATTTTTGTTTTGTGGTTCACTATTGAAAGGTTCTCAGATACCGGCGTACTCTTTAAATAAATCATTTGGAGTCACCGGATATTCCGGTAAGACACCAGCCTCTCATGGTTCTGATATAGATGAGATCGCTAGTGGTCAGGAATCATTTGGAGTCAACGGTTCTTCCGGTAAGACACCAGTCGCTTGTGATTCTGATACATATAACATTGATTATTATAAGACACATAAGTTTCCCAACAAACATGTTTTTTGTAATACTGTAAAATCGTTAAATCCTGTGGTCGAAGAACATATTCGTACAATAGCTCAGAAAATTAATAACAAACAGCAACAAGATCAGCTTTATTCCTTATTAGTTCGTTTTCATCGCACTTTTGATGTAGCTAAACATAATATTGCGAATACACCCATTAATCACGTTATTAATACTATTCCTCATTCGCCGCCAGCTTGCAGACCTTATCCGCAGCCGAATACAGAGGAAGCTATGTACAAGTTAGTCCAGGAATTTTTACAGGCTTATAGGATCTCCCAATATGTAACTCTCTTCTTCCTTCATCTATAAGTTAGTCTCGTTAACAGGTATCATTATACAATGTCTTACGATCGCCATTTCCGCACAACATCCTCATCATTCAATTTCGACCATCCTCATTCCAATTATCGGTCATTTTTATCTCGTCATCCGCTATTGCAGTTTCCGAATACTTCGGAAAACAGCAGTCATGTAGCTTATCCGAGCAGTAATGATTCGATTCTTTATCATCCTCTTCAACCAGAACGGAATCCTCATCCAAAAGATCCGTCATTTTTGTCTCGTCATTCGCTATTGCCGTTTCCGAACACTTCGGAACACAGCAGCCATATAGCTTATCCGAGCAATAATGACTTGATCAATCATCATCCCCAACAACCACAATTGAATTCTCATGTACGTTTTTTAAATCGATCAATCGAAACTTGTCCAAAACATTTAACGGGTAAAAAACGTACTAAATGGTTAAAAGCTGGTGAAAAAGCTCAAAAGAACAATCAAATATTGAACAATCACGACGCTTTCTATTGGCCTGAATCACACTACGGTCATCCAATCCACATTCACCATCAAACACCATTACATATTATTCAATCTCTTATACAAGAAATTTCAGATGTTCATCTTTTTACTATTGACACCGAATCAGATAAACCAACTATACGACAACCAAAACCAGTTCCTGCGTTGATACAAATACAGGCAATTCATAATGAAACTCTATCAACTGTAATACTAATAGAAGTACGTCATTTACCTTCTTCATCAACTCCATTATTTTCCAACAATATCATTTATTTGATCCATCCAACATTACTAATCCACAAAACATGCAAACCTTTTTTACACGAGAGTGGAATAAAATCCACCCACATACACCAGAATGCACTAATCATCATCAAGCAATCGAAAATAATAATCGAACTGATGATTTTCTCATATGCCTGGTAAACACTGATGATTTAGACATCGATTATAATTCAACTGATCTTACTGCTGATTATAACACATGTACCTGCCCTACTTCAATACGACCGTATAAGACCACAAATTCCATCTGGTCTCTTCAGAAAGCCATCCAATATACGTTTGATAAAGCTTTAGATAAATCATCGACATTGAACATCTGGTCTTGTGGACTTGATTCATCATTACAGACATCAAATACTAGTGAAGATAAATGTGCTCGAGAATCATTAATTACCTATGCGATAAATGATCTCTTCGCCGTAACTCAGCTATATTTTCATTTTAGTAAATCAAATATTCAGAGTCAAACTTCTACCAGTTTACCTCATTTGAATACAATCATGCCAAGTGAAACAATCAACGTTCCATCATTTTTAATTCTATCGGATAGTCATGGTAAACACCTCAAGTCAATGGAGAATACATCTAAATATACTATGATTACTCACTCGATTTCTGGTCTTCAATGGATCAATCAATACGATAGTAAATTATGTGCTCGTTCCATCATCTTATCTTCTTCTATGACATCAATTCTATCAAAATCTGCTGGTGTTTTATGTCTTATTGGTACAAATTCTGTTCGTACAACACACGCATTACAAATTATTCAACAGATTGAAGATATTATTCATACTATTCGCCTACATCATGCTCATCTTACACATAAACATGGTATTACCATAGTACAAACATTTCCGTGTTTCAAAGTATCAAAACGTTTTCCATCAACTACATTATTATCAAATAATATTGATACTTATAATAAAGAATTACAACTAATATCAAAACGTATGAATTTTTCATGCGTTAATTTTCATATTACGAATGAACATTTACATCATGACCATATGCATTTAAAATATCAATATCAAAATGTCCTTTCTCATGCAATCACTAATTATTTTGATGCAGTCATAAAGAAGAAATTAACTCTTAGTCAAAATCAACGTCGAAGTAGAACATCTGTCACAAACAGAAATAAAAGAATACACGAAAAATTACGAGCAAAGCAAAAACAGAACATACTTATTCGTCCTATTAGTATATTATGGAAATTACCTGATATTAAACAAGTATTGAAACATTATAATATACAATATGCTCGATTACCTGAAATTTATAAACATAAACTCCGTATTCAGTTCAACAATGAACTTTACCTACAACAAGCTGAGCGAATTTTATCTTCGAATATTTTCGATGAACAAAATTTTCTTGAATGGCATCGACAACATCAATAACATCCTTTTGTTTTTTTT